TTTGTATTCCTTATTTCGCAGGACTCTCGTTCCTGGTGTTACATCATCATCGTCCGTTTTTGTTTTTTTTCCTTCATATTTATGTGCCTACCAATGCCCTTTTTTTTATTTTCCCCCGAGTGGCTCAACTGTCAGCGTTTTACACTTGGTGAGTAGGTGTGTATTTTTACTTATATATACGACCAAGAGTCCCGCTGGGTGCATATAACAGCTATACAGCATCTCAGAGGCCTCGTAAAACTCTTCTTCGCGGCTATAAAATCTTACAGGGTTCACTTTGCCCCGACGCGCTCCCTCTCGCCCACACACCTACTTCTCTATTAATAGGTGTGTATACGGTTATGACTTTCTTCGTTATGGGCTGGCTACTGCGGCCCGATGTCGCGTCGGTGCCAAGTCGGCGCGGCGAGAAAAATGAAATTTACGTTCAATTAGCGAATCACCAACAAGTGAAAATTGCTTTACGGCTCGTGCGGCGTGGCTTACGTGGACTGCGTATTATACTCGTGTAAACTGTTATCATCGGGACATGGGAAAGTTGACTCCTTAATTGATAATGATGACGATGATTAGCGCAATTTTTACGTTTTATGTGACATTTAAGTGTACACCAAGTAAGTATAAGAGGTGCATCATAGTAGTATACCCATACGAGAAAGAATTTACGGACGCTGTAGGCGAAGAGTACCTCATATTACGAATTTTACCATCAAAATGAGTAAGAACTTTTTTTTTTTTAATATAAACTTTGGAAGAAGTCCCTTTCATTAAAGTCTTCTTCTTTTTTCTTTCCTCGAGCAAAACAAGATATAACCGTGAAAATGGCCAATTTTTCACAAATTGTAATCGCAGAAGGTACAACGCACGTGACGCTACTTGTTTTATGTATCGTGTACTCGTACATGATCATCGGGCAAGTACATAACACGTATGACGCAAGAGCTCGCATAGTGCAACGACGCTGCAGAGCTGTCAAGTGAAAAAGCACACGTATGCTCACCAGCTGATACACCCGAGTGAGAAAAAGAGAGAGAGAGAGAGAGCTGCGGTCGTAAGTTTGTTACTTAACGCTAATCAGGAGAAAAGGATTAGGTGGGGCACGCTCGTGTGACCGCAGCCTCTATATATATAGAGCTAAAAAGACACGTTTCGAGAAACGCCCCACGCCTGCGACCGTGTATATTTATATGCGCGACGCGATTCCCTGTGCACCCTCTCTCTGTTTTCCTTCGACGTTTCCTCTAGTTGACGTGCGCGCAAAAAGAGAGCACTACGATGTATACAGGTATATAAAGTATATACTCGGTCTGTCGTCCAGCAGAGAGAAGACCGACACAAAGGGGGACAGGCAGCGACGCAAGCTGCTGTTTTCTTTATAATGGCAGTTGGCTCGACCGCAGAAACCGCGAGCGTCGATATTATATACACGAAGCAGATCTCCCATCGGCAAAATAAGGGGGAGGAGAGCCGCGCCAAGTGCGAATTTCCGCGGAGCTATTTTTGCGCGCTGCAGGCTTCTTCTCCCTTCCATCTGGACGCTACCGATTGCCACTGTATACTCTCTCGAGTCATGTGTGTATATATACATGTATATAAGCTCTCGATCTCCTTAACGATCGGCTCAGAAAGATGATGATGTATAATAACAACGATGCCGGTTTATGCCGGCCTCCTCCCTCGCATACTATATTGTACTCAAGGATCGCATCTGCCGTGCGGTGTGTGTATATATATATAAGGTACCTATACGTATTTATAGAGCAGAATGTAGGTATTATACTCTCAACAAGAGCATCGGCGGCCGGTCAATTTATAATTTTGTTACGCAGCTGGCTGTAAGTACATGGACCAGCATATTGCTTGGCCCCTCGTTAATTTACAATATTTTTTCACCACCATCGCGCGGATGTCGTTTACGAAAGAGATGCCCGCGGAAAAATCACCTCAACGCACATGTCGTGTGCTTCCGCTCTCGGTGTGCGTAACTATATTTAAGCTATAAATAACGCGCTCGTATGGGACTCGGAGAGCAGACCTTGACACAGCCGAGCGTGTCTCCTCTGCGTCGTCATCCCCGAGGTACGGTAATTTACGAGCGTGTACGACCTCGTGCTTGATTATCTTGACTGGTGGCACACGCCCGTGCAGCCCTCGCAGGAGCGAAATCAGCGGTGCAGTTCCACCATCTGACGTGCACGAGAGTAAAGGGGAGGGGGGGGGGAAGAGAGACCATCAGTCGAGTTTTGAGAGGAAAATTCTAAAAGGCGGCGTATAAGCCCGTGCCGATGGGTCATGCCGTTGCAGCTGATGCTTCCATATGGCCGTTTCGGGCCTCTCGACTCCGATGGCGAGCCCCCCCCCCCCTATATATACTATTCGCCTTCTCGGCACTGCGTTTCATTATTGTTCGGCGAATTCGCGCGAAACTGTACAAGTATATACCTTTACTGCTGCCTCGGCACTTTTATGCCACGGCAAAAGGACCGGTACCCATGCGTATATATATACATGTACTTTTTGGGGTATAATAACAGTGGCTCGTTGAATCGCACGTGTTTCATTTGATGGGTATGGAAAATAAACGTGTCTCCTGCACTTTACGGTGTCGGCTATTTTGGAACTCGTTTCTTACATACATATATACGATTATACCGTAGGTTTATAGGTCACATTATTCACGAATTTTCGTTTTTATTTGTCCAAGTACTTGGAAAAAACATAGATGATCTTGGAAACCTTTCGAGCCCGTTGCTATACACTTATAGCATAGGGTCAATATCTTTGCACGAAGCAATATTTGATTGCAATCGGTATACAAAAGAATCTGATCTACATATACACGTGTACAGCGTATAATACCGCCTTACTCAGTTATATGCATTACAGTACACATAAGGAAAGAGGAGGGGGGGGGGGAACATTCAACGGGTGCATATGGCAGAAGGGCGAAAGAGTGCCATATTCATGAGGATCCTCGCTACATCCTCCCTTCTTTGGGATGCGCATTGATTGCGCTTCTCCTCTTCCTTTCTCGTCACCGACGTCGTGTGGGGCTCTCGTCCCAGTGCCGATTCCGCGCAGCAAAGAGCAGCAAAAAAAAAAAAAAAAGAAAAAAAGCGAATATCGCCCGATCACGGCGTACGGAGGCACTTTATGACGTCGACATACCTGTGTATAACGTCGCGTCGCAACTCCTCCGATGCCCGAGGTATTAGCATAAATTATGCCGTCGCGGGCCTCGTGTAACATCTCGATGAAGATGTACGTGCCATTAACTCGGCTGACGGGTGCATCTCTCGGGCGGCGAGTAACTGCACAACGCTGACGTCGCTGCGAGCTTTTCTCGTTTTGTTATTGCGATCGGCACGTACCGCGAACTACAAAGTGTCGCGTATTATGGATTTAAGGTGACTCGCTAGATTTCGTTTCATGCACGTATTGGTAGACCCAGGCACTTTGAAACGCGCAGCTGCTACTGGAAAAAGCTAATCTCCTCCGCAATCTGATTTTTAAAATCCGATCCGAGCGAGTAGCCTCTTCTTCCCCCCGTTTCGTGTGTAAGCCGCACGCCTCTATATTATACTTACGGTGTATTCCCTGCAGCTGCGATAAGTTACAATTAGATACATTATTGTACGGGTATAATGGTTATGAGCTCTCTCTCTCTGTGGCCCCATATGCTTCGAGTCATTAGAGCAATGAGTTTGCAAAATCATTGTGCCGTAGCTGTGTGTAGATATATAGATATCTAGAGAGAGACATGTGGTTACAGGGCTTGGAGTTGGCTTTCTCGGGCGAGCAGCGATTAATTTCCTAAAATCATCGGGACTCCAATTTCCCTCTTGCCCGTAATTTCCAAGCGAGTAAGTGAGCAGAGGAGGAAGGAAAAAAAAAAAAAATTGATATTGGCTCTTAGGAGGCGCGCGGCGGACTGTACACGCGCTCGATTAACCTGGGAGTGTGTGTGCGCGGATCGATTTTCGCTTGAATCACCGAGAGAGCCCCTATCTCTTTTTTTTTTTTTTTTTTTTTTTTTTTTTTTTTTTTTTNTTTTTTTTTTTTTTTTTTTTTTTTTTTTTTTTTTTTTTTTTTTTTGTATCATCGGAGACAGCTACAGTTAATGTATAACCACGTATAGCTAATACACGTTTCGGTGCGTGACGAGTCACGATTCATCAGCAAAGTTCGAACCACCTATCTATACACGACTCATTTTCGGGATGTTGTGTATATACGACCCCCACTTTTGTTCCACGACCGCCGTGGTTGCGTTACTTAGTGGGACCGCTCGTATAGCTGCAAAGCACAAATCGAGCAGTGACGGTAATACCTATTATGGTAATGAAAATAAAAGAGACGCAATCGAGGAAGGTGCGTGCAGCGCTCGTTAAACACGACACGCGATACATCCTCTATACCTATATAATGACGTGTGCGTATAGTTTTATACCGTGAGATATGCAAACATGTAGAATTAAGTCGAATTAAGGGGCCATCTCACGCTCATGTGTGCACGCGCCCCTCCGTTTGTGGATATAATATAATATATAGCAGTTAGTGGGTTTGTGGTGAGGTCCGGTTATTGGTTGGAGGGTGACCCGTGGGCCACACCCATTTACGGTTTTATACCTATACCTGACCCTATGTTACATTATGGTATTAATAACCGTGTGTATTTATAATGTTATATATAAGCAGTATCGCGTGTGCACACCTCGCAAATACATCTATATAGGTACCTGACTGTCCACGTGCCGCTTATGTAGTGCGTTCAAAATTGTGTATACATATAGATGCACGTGCGCCGAGAAAGAAAATAATTGAAAAGCTCTTAATAGTTTTCGCGTGGCAGTCGCGCTCTCTGAGAGACGTCAAATATCTTTCTGTGCTTATGATATGCAGCATAAAGCACGAAATTAAGTAATAACGTTCTCGTGCAACTTTTTTGGGTGTAAATATACATATAGTGCTTTATTTTTTAAAAAGATACTACATCCTGTGTCCGATTCATAATCAATATACCTAATTGAGAACGAATGGCGATTTCTCTGTCTCTCCCCTATTTCCTTTGACAAGCGCTTTTTTTTATTTGTCACATAAATTTACCTGCTGAGTTATGAAGTAAATAAAATTTAGGAAAAACCGTATTTATTATCCGAAAGATATTTTTTTTCAAACTAAAATAACAAATACACATACAATGTCTTATCGCGAACTCATTCATTCATGACAAACGTATTTTTATGTTTCAGGTGAGTGTTGCCATCATTGGACTAGTCCGTAGCTATACACTTATACACGCACGTTAAAAGTTCGTAAGTACAAGTACCCAATTGATAAATCTTATTGCAATGAGCCTCTAAAATCGCGGAACAACAACTCAATAGTTAAATATATTGGTGTCGCGTCTCACCTATAAAGCATCAGTATACAATATAATATAAAATGTACAATACGAGAATCGAGAGTCTTGGGTACAGGTACGGACATTATCCGCTAACCGATCAAAACTTACAGTAGACGCTCGGTACATCTGTTACATTGTATCGTTGTACCGTGTATATATAGTTCCGTTGGCGTATACATGCGCAATCGTCACGTGTAAACACGCGCTGAACGCGGCAACAGATATATTATTATGCAGTTGTCGAAAGTCAAGTTACTCGCCGTCGGCGTCAAAGTCGTGTAGATCGTGCGGGGCGCACTCGTTCTGCCAGAACTCGACGATGGCCTTGCCGTCGGGCTGTCTGTTGGCCTCGTTGACACCGGGCGCGCCCTCGTCGGCGCGCTCCCGGCGTCACGGCCGCAACAAGTCGCGTCTCCTCGGTTCCCTTGCCACCGACTGAAGCTCCTCCAAGCCCAACACCACCTGGCCACCCGCGGTAGCGTCCTCCTTGGCACCCCTGCGCCGGCGGATCCGTCGAGCCAGCCACGGTGTAAAGAGGCTGGGGTCTGGCTTGGTGGTGGCCACACCCGCGCGGGTCTCCAACTCGCGGAAGACGAGGCTCGCGCAGTAACCCACGACCACCGTGATCGCCAGGCCCATCGGGCCCAACCACATGTACGAGATGCGGTACAGGTAGAACTCGGGCGACCTGTTGGCAAACGGATGTCTCTCGAAATACATTGAAGTTGGTCAGGTTGGCCATTCCAAACAATTAACTCGATTGTCAAGAGCCGGTGCTTTTTTGTTACGTGCGGTGTAAACGTATAGAATGCGGATTTCCGGGATGCCGTGTCTGTATGTGTGTGTGTGTGTGTTTTTTTACCCACAAAACGTAGCGAATCTTATTGTGCGAATGTAAAAGCCATTGCGAGAGAGAAAGAGTGTTATACACGTTGGGGCGATGCTCCCATTGGACTATAGGACAGTATGGACTTTTTTTCCCATCGGAAATTGTGTACCTATAGCATGTCACCAGTCACCGAGTATTTAGTTTCGGGGGTGTTAATGAGGAAGTATGGCCGATAACGGCACACTCGTGTCTCTACACTCACCCGGTGGCCAACGTGGTCGTGTTGACGGGTGGGGCCGTGAAGTTGGCGCAGCCGCTTGCGGTAACCGGTAGCATCGGGGCCTTGGTCCGGGACCTGCCAAAGTTCGCCCAGAGACAGGTCAGCAGAGCCATCGACATTCCAAAAATGGCCCCCTTCTCGTTGGCCTCCTCGATGAACATGCCCAGCGTGAAGATGCCCAGCACGGGGCCGCAAATCGAGCCCATGACCGACAAGGTCAGCTGGACCAAGCTGCCGAAACTCCCGGCCAGCAGGGCCATTCCCACGCTCACGAGGCCATTCGCTACGGCCAGCGTCTTGCCAAAGGCGGCCGTTTGCTCCACCGGGAAGGTCTTGCCGAGCCTCGCGTAGCCCCGCTTGAGGTAGTCCTCGAGGAAGACCAGGGCCAGGGAGTTCAGCATGGCCGATACGGTGCTGAGACTGGCGCTGAAGATCCCCGCGACGAACAGCCCAACGAGGCCGGGGTAGCCGGACATCTTCGTGGCGGCAAAGTAGGGCATTATCCGGTCGTGGGAGGCTATCCGGCCCGCAGCCACGGGGTCGCAGTCCCGGTAGACGGCGTAGAGCACCAGGCCGCAGAACATCGTGAACGTACCGTAGGACACGAGGATGGGCAGGCTCAGGAACAATGCCAGTTGCGACGATCTCAGGGATCTGCACACGCGTAGGTGATGGATTTATATAATTGCGGGTGGGTCGGGAGAATACGACAAATGGACTAAACGCACTTGACCGTGAGGAGTCGCTGGACCTGGACTTGGTTGACGCCGAGCGAGCAAAAGAGACAGAAGCCACCCGCGACTAGGCACCACCAGGTGTGCCTCACGGTCGGGTCCACCTGGAAGCTAAATTTTACGATTTACAGTGACATGGTGCACCGAAATGAGTGTAAATGGACGTACTTGAGGAGCTCGACGCGTTGGCCCTTGAGGGCGGTGTCCCAGACGCTGGCCAGGCCACCCTCGATCTCACCCGAGGCGACAGCTACGATACAGACGAGCGAGACGAACATCAGCACGCCTTGGAAGACGTCGGTCACGAGGACGGCCTTTATGCCCCCGATCGCCGAGTAGAAGATGCATATAAGCCCCAGCCAGAGGATGCTGGTGGTGCTCGAGAGGCCCGTGGTTGCCTCGATCGCCAGGGACGGCGCGTACAGTACTATGCCCGTGTAAAGCGTCAATTGGACAAAGTTGGCTACGCTGGTCGCCAGGCGCGCCGCCACGCCGAACCTCTTCTCGAGGTACTGTGTACGTGGTGGAAAATAACAATTAACACAATACGTATGGGTTTGATTTTGGAACACTTGCCTCGTAGACGCTCACTGTGTTGAGCTCGAAGAAGACGGGCAGGTAAAAGTACGCCACTACGATGGTCGCGAGCACGGCGCCGACGTAGTGGACGTAGAATTGCGTGCCGTGCGCGTAGATCTCGGCGCTTATGCCCAAGGTGGTTATGGCCGAGACGAAGGACACCATCAGGCATATGCCGAGCGGCACTACGCCCATCATCCGGTTCGCCACAAAGTACTCCTGCTCAATCAATCTGTTACTCGCGATCTATACCCATTGCCTACACGTATACACGTATGGGTGGAACGATGACCCGCAGTTTTTATATTATATATTGGCGTTTCGTAAGAGTCGAATTTTTATTCAGTAATGCTGTTTGTTTATGTATCAACATTACGAGGAGGGGAAAAAAAATTTATTCTCGAGAAGGAGCTTTTATGCATTATGTGTGACTCTTTAGCTGCTTACCGATCATAAAAGTGCGGATGTTAATTGATTTCAACTGAGCTCTCAGTGCTCGCATCTGCATGAAAATTGTTCGTCCATCCAGTTGTTGGAAATGAAAGGAAAAAAAAATTCAAAGTAATCCGATCGTTCGCTCGGTAATGGCGAGTGCAAGAGAGAAGCGAAGGAATACGATCCATCGGATGTGCCGGTTATGAAGAATGAGACATCGGAAAATAGGCAATCGCGTACGGAAAGAAGCTCGGTCGTTTTTTTTTTTGTTCGGGTGCATCGACAACCACAATCAAAGAGAGTAAGTACACATACGAGCTGCTGGATTATTGCGGAATCACGAGAATTATGGCTTATTCGATTAACTCGTTCTTCGCGCTGGCAGCAGCTCGGTTTTCCCTCTATATACGTCCACGGCGATACGATCGCGAGTTTTCTTTCATCAGTGGAGCTCGACTATCTTTTTTTTCTTCTTTATTTCTTTAATAACACACAACTGTACATTTACCTCTGCTGTTTTTTGCCGACCACCGGTGAAACGATAGTACACGCCAATGCCCGCCGAGATCAGCATCACGACGCCTATGACGGCGTAATCCGGCGGCTGCAGCGTCGATGGCTTTTCAGGCTAAATATAAAACATACGTCGGGCTGATTTTTTTTATTCAGCAAAGTAGCCGTGATAAGATTTTTTTTTCTTCCCCCCCTCCTCCAAGATACATTCCCCCGGTGTATCGAGATCACGACGCGATTTGGGCCGAATACCTTACTCCGAGCTATTGTTTGATTCTCGAACGAGTAAAATAATCGTTGGTGCTTGTACCCGCTGTACGTTTACCTTACTAATTAGTTACCAGCCTCCCGTGGCTGTGTCACGTGCAGATATTTGCTCGAGGCCGCTTATTGCACCACAGCTCGGATGGATAATACGTGTATTTTCAACAGTTTAGTACTTGACAAGATACAGGGGGAAAAAAAGATTGGCTGTCTGAATTTATTTTCGAGTATAACGCGTCGCTCATCGCGCATGCAAATTCATACGAGAGCCAAGAGTTATTTAGCATCGGGTTGCTTTTCACGCGTAACATTTATCGCAATTTCGAGCCGAGCCTCGTAACTTTTACTTTGGGCACTTTCGAGCGCGTGAGGAAAAACAAAATCATCCCATGGTAATATAATAGTGCAAGAATTTAAATGTGTCACTAACCTCCATCTTTGTTACCGATATACGCCGATCAAGAATATTCGTCGCTTGCAGCTCGAGTCATCCATCCGCGTGATTTTTCATGCCGGATGAGAAAACGATGAACTTTTATCTCTTGGAGCCTGTGGGCAGAGTGTATGCGCGAGTTGACGTCCAGTTCGTGTCTAGCAGCTCAATTTTTGCGAGCCCGCTTGGATGCCGTGCTTTTGGATTACATAAAAGATGGCTCAGCGTTTTGAATGACAAAAAAAAAAAAAAAAAAAAAAAACGTCCCGGGCGCGCTCGGGAGCTCCTGACCACTTTTGCGGAACGCATGCATACCCATTATTCTTCCGCTCGTCCAAAATTATTATCCTGCCTTGGCGCTCGTTACTTGTTTATTTTAGATGCGTGCTACGTGCCTGCTTGCGAAATTTCCTCTGATTTGCGTGTGGACGCGTCATTACACGTATTATACTTTCGGCCGAAAATGGCCCTTGATCGGTATCGAGTTTACCGATTCTCGGAATCGTCCATGTTTCCTCGCGATGCTTATACTATTAAGATATCCTTTGAAAAAATATCAAAGCCGTTACGCAATGTATGTAAGCAGCATGTGCACGAACAGGCAAAGCGGATTATTGCAATCAACATTCCTCGTGCTCGACTGAAATTTAGATATCGCGAGCAGCGATAGTATGGCCAGTCGAGCGGAATCTATTAAGATTCGCGGACACGATCGTTTTGCCGGTCTTGATGAATTGACGCTCGCGTCTTTTTACCCGATTTATTTTTATCGTACGCTCCTATTGGGTACGTACACACCAAGAATATTATTGCCCCCCGTTGGAGGAGAAAGGGGAGAGAGAGAGAGATATGATGACGAAGAAGAAGCACTGCTGGATTGGAGCAACAGAAAGAAAAAAAGAGAGAGCCGAAGGAAGATGAAGCAGAAGGTAGTCGGTAAGTGGCGGATTCCCGTCATTAAGTCGTTAGACGGGCTGCGGCACGAGCGCCGGGATAACGTATCGGGGGACGTCCATTAAATCCGGCTGCCGCCGAGCTCGCCGATCGTTATAATTACCAGCGCGAGCCGGCTGGATGAAATTCACCTGCAATATTTTACAATTTGCAAGCAGTTGTTGACGAGTGTATGAGTGTATACCTACCCACGACTGATTTCGGTCAATGATTAGCCGGAACCACCTACTGCGACATCGGAGAGTACAGCTGTTTCGTGGATTAGACGTGCGTTTTATCGGGCCGAGGGAAGGAGAGGGGGTTCGTAATCAATGGGTTGTTGGAAAAATAAAGGAAAAAAAGGATATGGCGAGTCGTCCACTATTATCCTTCGGAGAGGAGGCTCTTGATACGATCTCTCGAGATGAGCGAGTAATTGGCAAACGTAAGGGAAAGGAAGAGGGTAAATTATAGAAATCAGTAGCAAAACCGATGGTATTAAGAGCGGGGCAATCTTTTCGAAATTAACATTATCAATAACAGTTTGATTGGCTTATTGGTACCCACAAGTTATATATACATGGCTACAAAACGATTCGAGTAGCATTAGACCGCAACGTGAGTAACAAAAAAAAAAAAAAAAAAAATCTGTCACCGGAACTAATCAGTTACGGTCGAGTGTACGCCCGTGGCTGTTGAGCATACCTGTAGCGAACATGAAAAAGCACCACACTGCCGATGACAATACACTGGAGAGAGACGTTGACGTGAAATAAAAAAAAAGGGAGATTTCGAGTGCCGTTTTGTTTATTTAGAAAATTTACAGGCTCGAATCTTACTCACCGAAACCGATAAAAAATGATACGTGACAAGATAGAGATGGTTACCTAGTATGGGTACATAATGTACAACACACGTAAGACGTTCGCTCTGAAGGATACGTATATAGGCTGGCGTGGTTGTGTTGATATGACTTACGGTTACAACAGAAGTATACTAAGCTTAGACTCCACGCGTCCCACTACCTATATAATATGTACCAAAAGCAAATACGTCCGAGTGTATGGATATAAACTCGTTTTTACAGATGGTAGCGTTAGATACATTTGCTTTTGCAGCATGGGTTTTCACCTTTGGAAGATCAATGTGAAATGCGCAGAGAGACAGCTAAGGAAAACTATCACGCTGCTCCAAGAGATGCAGAACGGCGACAACAGCGATATTCTTTTATATTTAACGGGATTTTTATTATCATCGCCAGTTCTTGCGACATCGAAGCCTATATAGTCTACGAGTGCATGTGACTGGTTACGTTGATGTATAATTTACATTTTACGTATACGTATATTGGTTTGAATACCATTTTTGCACTTGGGTATATATATATATATATGTATCTACAATAAGTACGAGTAATCAATTGGAGTCGTTGTGATAGCGCTGTATGCGTTACGTAACAATCAGTGAATCAACAAAGTTATTTTTAAACGGTTGTATTCTCGAGTATATATCTCAGAAAAGGGGAAAATTTTTAATGTCCAATAAAAATCTTTTGGCCTGACGTATAATCTTCTAAAAATGTAGTTCTTTGTCCTTGACTCCTGAAGATTACTAGTGGCAATGGAGTTCGAGCATATGTTCGCCAGCAGCTAAAATTAAAATACCACATTGGGAAAGTTCTTAGGTATATCAATTTTCACGAGAGCTCCTTCGCCGCGCATGTGGCTCTTTTGAGAAGGGCAAAATCGATCTCGGAGTAAAAATACCGAAAACTATGGCCTTCGCGTTTATTATTCCCTTTCCACCTTCTTGTATTTCAGTCTTGAAAAATCAAGATCCTTCCATCCCTCTTATTTGCTTTACAAATATGAGAATGTGATGCGGACAAAAATGTAAAAACAAACGCTTGACAATATTATAAAAGGATGAATTTGTCGAAAAATTGACTTGATGTAGCTTATTGTTTCCTTGTGACAAATCGTAAGAGTTAACGCCGTACCATCTTCCGGGAAGGGAGGAGGAGGAAAAAGGTACGGTATCTCTCTTTAAATTTAAAAAAACCTTCAGATCCATGAATTAAAAATCCCAACAATTGAAAAACCTATAAATCGAGAAAAACAATGATAGCATCGTGTAAAATGCTGGTTGAAAACAACTACATCTCCGATGAGAGTATAAACGATGAGCCGCTTGCTCGAGATACTATTTTTTTTTTTTTTTTTTTCATTGCAAAACCGAGATAACATACTTTGTTCCTCCCGGGCGCGACGATGTATCGTATGGTATATACGAACAAGTACCGGCGACGATAAACTGGAAAGGAGAAAAAAAGAAGGGTGTCAAAGACAACGATACAAGACAGTCAACAACAAAATTCATTCGGCACGTGCAGGTTGCATGTAGGTATATTTTTAATGCATCGCGAGCAGCGCGCATTACTCTCCATCGAGGGGAAGAGGGAAAAACAGCACTCCCTCTCTATATCCCTTTCGCGAATTAATAAACATGCCGGAGCGTCGCGAGACCTTGTTCTTGTCACACGCGCTCGCGCGTCATTCATAAAAGTGCCAGAGTCGAGTGTGCACGTGTAATCACGCCGCGGGGGTACAATGGTTCTCCTTTTTTCTCCCCCCCCCCTCTCTCCTCGGAGCTCGTGATATCGAGGTCAGCGATTAGTAATGAAACCGTTCGTGTGTACCCATATACACACACACACACATGTATATATATATATATGCATTGATAAACATAACAGGTACAGAACACACGCGTTACATACAAATACAACACTCGGGGGGAGGGGGGGGGGCAGTCCAGCCTTTACGCCGATTAGAAAATAGAAATCGTGTCGCGGGGACGGACCGCCCCACCGGCCTGCTGTGACAGCTTGACATTATATTCGCGCGTGTATATGTTATATATGCCCATATGTACTCCATTGCGCTTGCACGAACTGAGGGAAAACCTGTGGTCGTTGACTTATTCGTACTTTGCCGATGGGCATGGGCTTTAACGCGAATTTTTTTGCAGAACGCTTCACGTGTGTGACTCGACTACTATTTTTTTTTTACTCGAACGAGTATATGTATCTCACAATGAAATTTAATAATCGTGCGAGCTGCAAGTGCTTATCTACCCGAGAAAGAATATATTCGAATGCACATAGCAACGGTATAATATGACCATACCTACGCTGTCCGATCTGGAAAATGTCCGTCTATTAGACCAGGTATGGTATACACACATTTCACTGTAAATACACACGTTATACATACATAATGGAGGCGAGATCGCGAGTCCGCGATATTTCAGAGCACTGTTATGTGTCACCGCCTTCCTCCTCCTCCTATACACGTGTAGGTATATATACTTGGCTCTCTCCTTTGAATTTCATTCCTGTCCGATACGGTGGTGGTCCCGCGGAATCGCGGGCGTTTGTTTACAATGGGAATGGGAGGGCCTGAGTGACACTCGCTTGCACACACACACCATATTATGAAGTTGGTAAGTACAACGCATATAGCCTTAGATGATAAGGGGAACTGGTTGTGTGCGCGTATATATACCACAATTTATACATACGCATAACGTATACATTATTGTTGTTTGCGCCACGCAGAGATTCTTGCGCTTTATACATTTTATGCGTTCGCTATATCGCTGGTAAAAATACAAGTGCTTTCTCTCTCCCTTGATACAGGTATTTATCGTTTTTTTTTTTCAATATCTTCATTTGTACGTTCATAAGTTTTCCTCGTACTTTTTTTTGAACCTTAATTGCGTAGGAATCTTTTTTCATTTCAATTTAAATCAATTACACCTTTGGTTCAATTAACAACTTTTACTGATACACGTACACGCGTTTACATACTTTGGTACGGACGTGTTATAAATAAGTATCCCTTTTTTGATTATCTTGGTTGAAACAAAAAAAAAAAAAAAAAAAAACTATGACGTTATGACAGATGGGTACAGTTTATATCCTCTGTATCGAGAGAAACAAAAAAAATGATGGTATTCGACGCGAGGTGCTCCGCAAAGTGAGTGGCTCGTTGTTCACATGCGACGCTGCGAGAATGCCAATCATTAATCGTTCTTTTGTTAGACGATCAACGATCATTGATGAATGGTGTGACATTGTTCGTGACCATTTGAATAATCATAGCCTGTCTCGAAGACTATTATTTATCTTCGGGCGCAGCCTCG